TTCACTGAGGTGTTCAAATATCCTAATTGCCTGCTGTTCACTATGCGATCAGTAGACGCAAGAATAAATAATTTTATCCATTTCTGTGTTTCATCAGTACCCTAATTGTGGAGAAAGTGGAAATTTCAAGGTGACGAAGACGCTTACAGATATCATTGCGGACATACACACAGTTGAATGTTATACTGATAATACATACGTAAATAACGGAGTTTGAATTTTTTGTATTAAATCACGTTCTCTTGCAAGAAAATCTGAGTATATTGCAGCAAGCTAGATGACGTAAGCAATGACGGTAGCTTTCAATCTAGCAATTTTCTAACTGCCCACATTTCAAAAAACGTAACTCTAACGTATTTATTACAGTACAAAAAACGTGTAGTGGCGGTGAAAGAATATCCACTATCCCATATCGTCCTGTAGGTAGCGGAAGATTCTAAAGAGTCTTACGGTACCTACAGGACGATATGGGATGGGATATCTATTAATAACTTGAAAAATAAATAACCGTTACCAATCTGCCTGCCAAGAATGGCAAATATGGCAAATATAAGAGATGTAATAAGACTAGTGGATATTGAAAGGCTGCAATGGATGGATGAATTCAACAAAAAGCGTGTACATTGCCCCATAAATGAATTACTGACTGTGGATTCGAATAACTAGTATTAGGTACCTACTTGTGTCTATTTTAAATAGTATAAAACAGTCCCTTGCCCAAGTCTGTCTGTAAATTTCCTTAAAATTTTAAGCTACTCAATCGATTTTGATGCGTTTTTAATAATATTGAGAACGTTTTTTGATGTTATTTTTTTGGTATAATATAAAATAGTAAATCTCGATGTTCTGAAATGTAGTAAGTGGTTGCTGTGGCCCATAGATATCTACATCATTCCTCAATCACGAATTAAAATGCAGATGCGTTGTCACCCGTGAGGACTAAGATGGAATGCCTCATTTCCAGTAAAAAGGGTCTGCGGTACTCTACACTCACCATACGAAACACAGCAGCGTTAAGCTGCTATTACTTATATTTTTTTTATAGAAGAGGGGGCAAACGAGCATGCGGCTCACCTGATGTTAAGTGACCACCGCCGCGCCGCCCATGATCAACCGCAACCCCAGGGGAATTGTAGGTGCGTTTCTGGCCCTTTAGAAAGGAGTACGCTCTTATCTTGAAGGTCCCCAGGTCGTATCGGTCCGGAAAAATCGCTGGTGGTAAACTATTCCATAGAGAGTTTGTACGCGGAAGAAAACTCCTCTTGAAACGTACAGTGGTGGACCGGTGTGGATATTTTGTATATATTTTGTGAGAGCGTGGTCCTTCCCCGGTCGAACAAACCCATTCATACTGCAACTATACTACTAATACAGCTACACCATGGCTCTACTTCGTTAGAAAATAAAATGAGGACAAGAAAAAAAAAACAAATTTAAAATTTTTCGCCGTTTAACTTAACTACTTTTTTTATCATTGATTAAAACTACTTTTACGGATTTTATCGCGTTTTATTTATTTTATTTTTATTACCCGACTTTCGGGTGCTTTCCTGCACCCATGGTCACGGGAGACTGAGGTGACTGACGTCCTGATGTCAAAGTTAACACGGAGTACCTTCAGCTTTTTTATTATTGTCTTTGGTCCGATCTACGCAGAATGAACTAACTGTGTTTTGAAGTCTTGCAGTGGTATGCTTGGGTTTAGTTTTAATTTTATTAATTATAGGGTCCCAAGCAGGTGGTAGTACCCAGCCTCCTTCTCTATTGAAATTAGGGTGTTTTTTAATTTCAATAGCCTCACGTATCATCCTTGGTAGAAATCGATGTTCTTTCGCGAGGATTTGTGGTCTATCAAATCTGATGTAATGGTTGGGTCCATCTAGGATATGATCGCAAACTGCAGACATCCCGGAACGCTGATGCTTCACGTCAGCTATGTGTTCTTTTACGCGGGTTCTAATTGATCTCTTTGTTTGCCCTATATATGAGTGACCACAATCACAATCAAGCTTGTACACTCCTGCATCTTGTAGAGTAATATGACACTTGACGGATGGTAAGAACTGACTAATCTTCTTCGGCGGCTTGTAGAATGTTCTAATAGAAGCTCGCTTCAAGATGTAGCCAATCTTGTCTGTGACACCTCTGACATATGGTAGTACAGCAGGCACACGCTCGACTGTGGCCGGCTTCACTCGGTCACGGTGACGTAGACGCGGGACCCGAAGCTTGTTGTCGACGTGCTGAAGCTCGGCGGCCAGGTATTTGCTGTCACAGATCCCTCGTGCTCTCTGTGAAACAAAATTTGCCTACGGTAGTTAACCGTGAAGGATGCTGGTGAGATTCACCATTTAAATATCGGTTTGTATGGGTCTTTGTGGGGATTTTGTTACAGACAGCACGAGAGATCTGTGACAGCAAACACCTCCACGTTCATCTTAAGACCTATACTTTATTAGACACTATTGAGGTCATTGAGCATAATGCTGAATATTTATATTACTAATAATCACGGAAGTACTTAATAGCTCACAGGCAGATCAATATTCGTTTCAAAACTCTCGTAGTTCAAACAAAGTTGAAATATTTATACAAGCAAAAACTGGCTTAACCAGTAAATTTATCGCTAGTAAATGCCAGAACTAATGTCACTAAACAAGACATTGTTGTTTGTGTTACTTCTAACAAGTTCTAACCTATATTATTAGCCGGCTTCAGACTCTAATGATTTAGCACAGGATATGTTGTGTTTTGCTCGTTTGCAAAGTAGGTAAGTACAACAAAGAAAAAGAGAAAGGAGATCTATTTTAACACGCTTTTATTAGCTTTGCATAAATCTATCTATCTATGCAACGGAATCTTTCAATGTAATTTTCACCAATTTGTGGACGGCCAATTTACTTAAAAATTTGCAATCGTATCAAGGACCATTAGAAATATAATAATTTAATAACTTTATCCTATACCCTGGTCCAAATCACCAAGATAAAACTAAATAATTATCAGATTCATCACATCTCATGAGAGTATACGTGTATTTTAAGTTTTTTTTTTATTCTAATCTATACATATAATGAATCAGTAGAAAAGTCGTGTCTGTAATTCTATTATTTTTTGAAAAAAACAAGTCCAGGGGACTAAACAAGCGGTACTGAAACCAAATTAGTAGTTTTTAGAATTTTTGTCTGTCTGTCTGTCTGTCTGTCTGTGTATTACGGATTCACTCATAAACTACAAGACGGATTTACATGAAATTTTGTAAGTGGGTAGTTAAGAACCCGGGGCAACTTATAGGCTACTTTTATCCGATTACGGAGCATCAAAAAAAGAAGGTTATGTTTTTTTACCTTTCTTTGGAGTTAATTTTATAATTTTATAATAAGTGCATAAAATGTCATTAGTCTTAAGGTAGATTACATAAAGTTCTTAATTTGTAATGTATATTTATAACTGAAGCTTAATATACTATGTTAACCGTTGAAACTTAGTTTAAAACTTCACCGACTACGTTGTATGTTTATAAGACAGTGCCATCTATTATTAAAATGCAAAAAAGTGTTACTTTTTCCCTTCAGGCACTAATAAATTATTTATTATACATATTAAAGTTTTATTTGTAATGCGCAAGTATTTATAACTGAAGCTTAATATACTATGTTAACCGTTGAAACTTAGTTTAAAACTTCACCGACTACGTTGTATGTTTATAAGACAGTGCCATCTATTATTAAAATGCAAAAAGTGTTACGTTTTCCCTTCAGGCACTAATAAATTATTTATTATACATATTAAAGTTTTATTAAAAAAATATAAACATTTATAGAAGCTTTTTATATGTATGTATTGCTTTTAAATTTTGTCTATCGTTATGAAAATCAAGTTTAATTTAAATACATAATAGCGCCATTTAAGAAAAAGTAAGTTACAATGACGGCATCCACACCTTTTTCTGCCACCAGTGTGGCGCCACTTGTGAAGGTGAAGTGAGGTATAATATTTGACAGATATCAGGGCGGGGAAGTTAATTTGTTCGAAAAAATGTAAAGGTTAATGTTTCTTTCTGTACTGTTGCTATATTTTATATTTTTAAAATTAAAAATACATAATATTCATGAAAGTAGAAAAAATTTTAAAAAGTTAAAAATGTGCAAAAAATTAAACAGCAAACCACTGACTCATTGTTTTGTGTATTAGTATAATACTCTAGAAACTGATAAACTTTTATTAAAAACTTACTTCTCCATTAAATGACATTGTGTAACAAAAAACTTTATCTCAGTGTCAACTAGCGACATCTGGTGAGCAGAAAATTATTAGCCCTCATTAAACAGTATGGTTCTCTAACTACGTCACTTCACGGCGACTATTTAAATTGTATATATTATTTAAATTGTATATATTATTTGTATAAATACATAATAAACAATTATAATTTTTAGTTAGGTCCTTTTCTATCCTATAATAGGAATATAACTATTTTTTTTTTATGAAATATATATTGGTACAATGATAATTGTTTTATTTCACTATTTTCCGTTACGTTCCGTTAGATGTCATTGCTGAACATCTACCTCGCGTAGGTAAGATTTTTCGTGAGTTTTCTTAATGACACATTATTTTATATCTACTCAATATGATAATTTGTAAAAGTTGTTATATTTGTGATAATACTATAATACTGTGTGCTAAGATTTCTATTCTTTTACCTTTCATGACATCATATTACGGATTTACGGATTTCTGATATTTTGTCTTACGATACGGAATTAGTTGTTTGGATTTTTTAGACTGTAATAATATATTAAATTTAAATTAAATTAAATTGAATTAAATAATATTATTATTGTAGTCTAAGGTTAAGTGATCACTAAATTGTTACATACGTGATTACATTTTCGGATAAGGATTTTATTTTGTGTTTTGGTTGTTGAATAAATTTTAAATAATGCCGCAAAAAAAAGAAAAGTAGTCTTTCTCAATACACTAGAAGGGCTAAAAGGATGAGACAAGTTCGATCGCAAGAGACAAATGAGGACCGTGAGCACCGTTTAGCTTACAATAGAGAACAAACTGCGGAATCTCGGGCATCAGAGTCCAGTTTTAATAATGAAACGCGCTTAGCTACAGATCGCGAACGTCACGCGTTGTCTCGCGCTTCGGAAACATTAACAAATTACTCTCAGCGTTTAAAAGTAGACCGTGAACGTCATATCGAGTCTCGAGCTTTAGAGACGTTTACGGAGCATTCAGAAAGGTTGACTGCAGACCGTGAACGTCATGCTGAAAGTCGCGCTTCAGAAACGTTTACGCAATATTCAGACCGCTTGACAGCAGACCGTGAGCGTCATGCTGAGTTTCGCGCTTCGGAAACATTTACGGAGTGTTCAGAACGGTTGACTGCAGACCGTGAACGTCATGCTGAGTCTCGCGCTTCAGAAACGTTTACTCAATATTCGGAACGCTTGACTGCAGACCGTGAGCGTCATGCTGAGTCTCGCGCTTCAGAAACGTTTACTCAATATTCGGAACGCTTGACTGCAGATCGTGAGCGTCATGTCGAGTCTCGCGCTTCGGAAACATTTACGGAGTGTTCAGAACGGTTGACTGCAGACCGTGAAAGTCATGCTGAGTCTCGCGCTTCAGAAACGCTAACTCAATATTCGGAACGCTTGACTGCAGACCGGGAACGTCATGCAAGATCACGTGCTTCGGAATCATTTACTCAATATGAAGCGAGGTTAGCAGCAGATAGGGAGAGCCGTTCGGTAAGTAGGACACATGAAACCCAGCAGGAGCATGACTTACACTTAGAATTGGCAAGGGGATATTATGAAAATTCGCTTCAACACCGTAACGAACTTTTGTCTTTACAAAGGGAAAGAGTGCAAGCAATTAGGAGTAACGAGACAGAGAGTGAACGTGCAATTCGGTTACAAGCTGATCGTATTCGTACTTTTATAAATCGTTCAACCACCTTTACTCCGCCATCTATGGACAGAGAGAACTACACTGATCTCCCTTGGGTTGATAAAGAAAATAGTGGTTTTACCTATACTTTTAATATTGACTATAGTGAATTTGCCGAGATCGGAAGAATGATTCGCACTTGTAGTCATTGTCAATCACTTAAGTGGTCTAAAGAATCAAACGGGTTTTGCTGTTCAGCTGGCAAGGTACAATTGGAAATATTTCAAGAGCCCCCAGAACCTCTTGAATCGCTACTTAATGGGGACCATCCACATTCCAAGCAGTTTTTAGACAATATCCGTTCATACAATGGGGCATTCCAGATGACTTCTTTCGGGGCCAAGCAAGTGGTACATGGAACATTTATGCCTACTTTTAAAGTTCAGGGGCAAGTCTACCACTTAATTGGTTCGCTTTTGCCTGAGACAGAACCAAAGTTTTTACAAATATATTTCGTTTCTGATTACCATGAACAAGCCAATATAAGGAGGCAGAATTTCCCAAATTTAAACGCTAATGTTATCTCAGAGCTTCAGGGCATGCTTCATCAGGTCAACCCTTATGTATCCAATTTCAAAGCTGTACTAGAGTCGATCCCTCAAGATGAATACAATAATTATAAGTTTGTTATTAGCGCGGATAAGCGACCTTTAGTGCAACATTCCGGCCGTTATAATTCTCCATCCACCAATGAAGTGGCAGTTGTCCTGGTGGATCAGCAATGCGACAAGCGCGACATTATAGTACGCACGCGTGATGACCGCCTGCAACGAATTAGTGAGACTCATCGTTCTTACGACTCCTTACAATACCCACTTATTTACTGTCGCGGTGAAGATGGTTACAACTTTACGGTTTATCAAGTTGACCCCGCTACAGGAGCACCTCGGTTAGACAGAAAAGTTTCGGCTCTGCAATTTTATTGTTATCTCATGCAAATAAGACAACGTCGTTTTGTATATTTACAACGATTTCGTGGCTTATTTAACCAGTTTATTGTTGATATGTACGCAAAAGTTGAAACAGAGCGTTTAGTATTCATTCGTACTCATCAGAGACAGTTGCGTGCCGAAAATTATGTGGATCTTCATGATGCAGTACAGGGAGATACACACATAGAAAATTTAGGACGTTTAGTTATATTGCCTTCCAGCTTTATCGGGAGTCCCCGAAATATGAATGAACGCGTTCAAGACTCATTCTGTTATGTTCGCAAGTATGGTAGGCCAGATCTTTTCATAACAATAACTACTAACCCTAAATGGATCGAGATTTCTCAAGAGCTGCTAGAAGGTCAAGCATCGTACGATCGACACGATTTAATTAGTCGAGTTTTTTATTTAAAGTTAAAGTTGTTAATCAACTTATTAACCAAGCAAAACGTTTTTGGCGCTACGTCATGCTATACATACAACGTGGAATGGCAAAAAAGAGGGCTGCCCCACGCTCACATTCTTCGATGGTTATTACAAAAAATTCGTCCTAATGACGTTGATAATATAATAAGTGCAGAATTACCAAATCCCACAAATGATCCTATTTTACACCAAATTGTTAAAACACAGATGATACACGGGCCTTGCGGTGCATTAAATAATAATTCTCCGTGCATGAAGGATGGACAATGTACGAAAAAATATCCAAGACCCCTTTTAAGAGAAACAATCACTGGTGAAGGTGGTTATCCCAAATATCGGCGGCGTGCTCCACAGTATGGAGGATTCACCACAAAATTGAGAATGTTTGGACAAGATGTAGAAGTAGATAACAGGTGGGTAGTGCCGTACTCACCTGTGCTATCGAGAACTTTCCAAACCCATATAAACGTAGAAATGTGTAACAGTGTTGAATCAATTAAATACATTTTTAAGTATGTAAATAAAGGGACGGATCAAGCAACACTTGCAATGAGCAACGACAGATTTGACGAAATTACAAGATTTCAATCAGGGCGATACATAAGTTCTTCGGAGGCAGCATGGCGAATATTCAGTTTCCCAATAAGCGAGCGTAATCCCCCGGTAATGCATTTAGACGTTCACGTGGAAGGCGGACAACGCGTATATTTTCACCCAGACAATATTGTGGAGCAACTAGAAAATCCTAGACAAACAACTTTACTGGCGTTCTTTCGATTATGCGAATCTGACGATTTCGCAAGAACTTTGCTTTATGACGAAGTTCCAGCGTATTATACATACGATAAGCAACACAGGATTTTTAATCGTCGCCGACGTGGTATTCCTGTTGAAGGTTTTCCCAACCTTTTTAAAGAACATGTGCTCGGCAGAGTGTACACTGTACATCCCAATAACTCCGAATGTTTTACGTACGTTTACTTTTGCATACAGTACGAGGACCCACATCATTTTTGGCTTTGAAAATGTTCAACAACACTCAATATCCTTCTTTTCAAGCTGCTTGCCGGGCTCGAGGGTTATTGGACGACGACCAGCACTGGGACAACACCCTCGCTGAAGCATCTGTTAGTGATAGCCCGCGTCGTTTACGGAATTTATTTGCGGTGTTGTTAGTATTTTGTGGCCTTTCAGATGCTAATCAACTTTGGGTTAAACACCAGAATGTTTAGCTGAAGATTATATTAATTTTGAACATGGTGAACTAAATCAAGAGATGCTCAATGATGTATTGAATCGTTGTTTGTGTGATATACAAAACACAGTTTTTTCAATTGGTGGTAATCCCTTAATACGCTATGGATTACCTGAACCAATCTTAAATGTCGAACAAACTAATCGAGAGTATGCAACGGAATCCAATTACGACTCAGAGGAACTGGCCCAAATTCTTCAAGTAGGTGTACCTATCATGACCCCCGAACAAAGAATTATTTTTGATCGTATATGTAACAGCGCTTTGAACACCTCTGGTGAAATGTTTTTTTTGGATGCCCCTGGCGGTACTGGTAAAACATTTCTTACGAAACTTATCCTTGCGCAAATACGTAGCCAGGGAAAAATTGCATTGGCCGTGGCATCGTCCGGAATTGCAGCTACCTTACTTCCAGGAGGCAAAACTGCACATTCCATGTTCAAAATACCCACACAATTAGACGTCACTGAAACCCCCCGTTTGCGACATTTCACGTAATAGTGACATAGCTCGAGTACTTCGTGAGTGCACCTTAATTGTATGGGATGAATGTACAATGGCGCATCGCAAAGCAGTAGAAGCCGTCAATAGAACGCTGCAAGATATACGACACAACAATGAACTTATGGGCGGAGTCACTATGCTCTTCTGTGGAGATTTTCGGCAGACATTGCCAATAGTTACACGCGGGACAAGAGCCGATGAAATTAGCGCATGTTTAAAAAATTCAATTCTTTGGCCCCATATTACAAGGTTAAATCTCACCACAAACATGCGAGCGCAAAGAGGCGAGAACACAAATGCTCAAGATTTCTCACAGTTATTATTGAGTATTGGTGAAGGTAGGTTTCCTGAGGTTGATGGTAGAATAGATTTAATTAATAATTTGTGCAAAACAGTCCTTAACATTGAGGAACTTATTATATCTGTGTATGAAGATCTGGCTGGTATAGTAAACCAAGGAAACTCTTGGCTTTGTGAGCGCGCTATACTTACGCCTCGTAATGATCAAGCTGTAAGTATCAACATGACCATTTTAGAACGTATTGAAGGGGAGAATGTTACCTATACGTCAATAAATAGGGTAGTTGACCGTGAAGAAGTAACAGCATATCCTGTAGAGTTTTTGAATGCATTAACGGCGTCTGGGCTCCCTGCACATGAAATTAAACTTAAGGTAGGGATCCCCATAATTCTTTTAAGAAATTTAAGTCCACCAAAATTATGCAATGGTACTCGGCTCAAAGTAGTTGCTCTCCAGAGACATGTGGTTGAGGCAGAGATACTTACCGGTTGCGGTGCGGGTGAGAAAGTTTTTATTCCACGAATACCGATTATTCCGAATAACTTTCCGTTTCGTTTTAAACGGGTCCAACTGCCGGTGAGTGTTTGCTTTGCAATGACGATAAATAAGGCACAGGGTCAAACGCTAAGCAGAGTAGGCGTTGACCTTACGAACAGCTGCTTTTCACATGGGCAGCTCTATGTGGCAATGTCGCGTATCAGCGATTATTTTAGCACCACAAAACAAAACGGTGAACGTTGTTTATGAAGAGGTCCTTTGTTAACTGAATATATTTTTTTACATTTTCTTTTACTTTTGAAGTTCTAACAAAACCGTGATTAAATAAATAAAACCATTAAATTAAATTGCATATTTATATCCCCTTTTTTGACTCCTTGTTTTGTATTTATTAAGATTTTATTATTCGAAAACCAGAAATGGATTAGGTGGTAGATAGCTGGCATTAGGTTTTCTTAAAATGTGGATATTATCATAAAATGGCTAATCCTTGCCATCAAGTCATCCAAAATTAAAAGTAAAAAATTTGATCTATTTTAGCCTTTTTCACGAAGCTAACGTTCAGGTAGGTATAAAATAATCTGCTTGATTATAATAAACATATAATTATATATACTCTGTTTGAAAATATAAAAGAATTGGAGAAAAAGATTACATGCGAACGAAGTCGCGGGCACAGCTAGTATTATACATACATTGCTATTCTATTAGTTTCAAATACATAAACTGTTACTTTTATTAATATTTGGTTAGTTGTAATTACTTATTTATTATTATTATTAATTACTATATCGAGATGCACAATCGTGGTGGAGTTAAATTATTAGGGGCACGTTTATGGAATTCTATGCTTATCCCATTTCTATCTTGAAATTAAATCTGTAAGATTCTTTGAATTTTAATAGCGTAATGCTTAGTTATAACATATTTTTAAAGGAGAGTCATCGCCCTCGCTTTATAAAGTTCACTACTTGTAATCGAATGTGCTATTACGCTATTGTAGTAATAAAAACGTACGAAGTAGATACATAACGCGTACATATTGACCGCGCAGTGGCGGTGTGAGAACATCCACTAGCCCACATCACACCGTGGGTGTCGGAAGAGGCGACAGAGGGAAACAAATCAGAAGATGGGCAGCACAGTCTTCCTAATATCGACAATAAATAAATAAACGAGGTTGCCAAGTCGCTTGCGTGGCAACTGTGGTAAATATCCCCCTTATAAGATTATTTATGTATGGAAGGCATATTTAGCACTGGAATTTTAATAGATCGTAAAGGTAAAGTTAAACATGTACGATGCGATGCGGCACCGTTATCGCAACGGTACCATTTCGACAACGGTTATTTACTGAGATGCACAGTTTTTTTTACTCTCTTAGGTCTCTAACTCAATTCACCGGTGTTCTTGCGTTGCTGCGATCGCGCGATGATGAATGACCAATTAGGACGCTCAAAAGAGCTTTAATTGCACAATCGTACAATCAAACCCATCGTACGATCAATATTAAGCATTTCTTGTGCTTGCGCGATCACTCTCTAGCTTTAGTTGGGACACTCCAAAGAAACGTGTGTGTTTAATCTCGTCGTGCGACGAAATTGCATCGTTTGCTCGTAATATCGTTACCAATTAGGATGACGCATTGCCACATAACAAATAATAGTATTACGTAGCCGTACATTACATGCATTACTACTATAGCTTTACTTTTTTTATTTTCGGGATAGTCAGAGAGAATCTTTCTTACTTCCTTCCCACTTTCACTTATATTTATTTGATAGTTATTGTAGGTCTCATTCAAAGTATCCATACAATCTTACGAGTATAGCTTCAGTTTCATTCGTCATAATCCTATTTTACGCTGGTGACCATCGGGAATAATAATTTAGGGCAGTGGTGGTTGCGGGAAGGTTAGTTACAATCATATAATATATTCTTAGGGTTGCACTGCCGGGAATATGTTGATAGATAGTAGATCTTTGTATGGACTTGGCTTGTAAATGATTTGATGTAAATTGTATTATTTTTATAACCCAAAAGTTTTGTTAATATTTTTGAATACCACTCCCTATACGTCTGTTCAATTAAGTAAGTATCCTTCGGTTACCATCTTCTTATTTGGGTCCATTTTTATTCATTATAACTGTCAAACCGAAAACTCATTTATAATTTTCATTATCAAGGAAGCCCACGTATTATGACGGGCAACTACGGAACCCTGCCTCTGCATTGCATTGTGCGTGGTGCACACACTTCGTCTGTTGCCCCGCACCGCACCCTCGTCGACACGTTTCCTGCACCCCGCATCAGGACAGGGCCCCGCAAGGACAAACAATTCTGTGCCTACGTAACACCAATCTTGGATGGATGCGTGGCTGGAGGGAGTCCAGTCGCAAACGGTGCCTACCCGAGACCAAGGCGATTCGGGTAGTATTTTAGCCCTTCCCTCTTCATGCGGGGCTCCGCCGGGGGTGACCAAGTATTTCCCCTAGCTACTCGTGGGAACAAAATGGATGAAAACCGACATTTTGTTAAAGACAGTGAGAAGTATCCTTTAATGGAATTAGCTGCAGGTTTGGAAGAGGCTCTTTTAGCCTCACCAACACCCTGCAACGGTGCGCCCCAACCTGGGATGAGCCGTGAAGTAGAGGGCACGTTTGCAGCCTAACCACAATCGGAAACGAACCAGGGAGGGGAAAAGAAAAAGTTCGCTAGGCCTTATAAGCTTAGTGGGGCTGCGAGGAAAAGGTACCGAAGTCTGATAGCAGCTGAGATTGGAGCCGAAGAGGCCCTCTCTCTCAGCCAGAAGGCTTGGGACGAAATTCCTCTGCCCAAGCCTCCCCCAGTTCCAAAGGCGAAAAAAACGCAGTCGGTCTGAGGAAGAGTCCCCCAAAGACCAGTCCAGGAAGACTGTGAAGCTGGCAACGGAGGAGAAGAAGCTCAGCTTCAGTGCCGTAGCTGGCTCCGCGCGTATAGGAATTCGCAATTCGAATCCTATGAGTGTGGAGCAGATGCGGCTGGTCCACCGGGCACTAACACAGGCCATCGCTAAGACGGCCTGTGGGTCGCAACCGGGAATGGGCCCAAAATTTTCCGGTTTCACAAACAAGCCAGGTTGGATTCTGGTAACGTGCCTGAATAAGGCAAGCCAGGACTGGATTGTGAGTGAAATCGGAAAACTAAAGCCCTGGCCGGAGGCAGAGCTCTCGGTAATACCCGAGGGCGAACTGCCTAAGCCTACGTTGGGCATTACCTACTTGCCCCGCAGCGAAGCCGACTCTCCAGAGGAGGCGGCTGTGCTGTTGAGGGCACAAAATGAAGGGCTCTATACTGAGCTCTGGAGAATCCTCCACCGTAGGGACGATCCATCGGCGGAGGCTCTTCGGAAGGCAGGCGGCAGAGTCATCCTTGGCTTTAAGATGATAACTTTTAAAGTCAGGGGAGGCTCTGACGCGGCAATGGAGCCCGAACCGACCCAACCCCAACCCCAATCCCCTCAGCCCTCCACCTCTCGGGGTGAGGCTGGAACGCCACCGGTGACAGTGACGAAGACCCAAGGCGCAGATTTCGCCTCTGTCCGACGGCCTCCGCTGGTGTCGTCCAGGCCGGAGGGAGGGGAGGTGGGAGCGGTTCGAAGAAAGGTAAGGCGGGGGTCAAGTTCGCAGAAAAAGGACGTCCTCGTCCTCAACAGGCGGAAAAGACCCCTGCCCCCCCACGCCCATAAATGGCTAAACCCAAGGGTAAGACGAGGGTCCTCCAAGCAAATCTTCACCATGCAGCAGCTGCTTCTGCCGTGGTGGAGGTTTGCTTTGCAGAGGACAACATTGACCTCGCCCTTATACAAGAGCGTTGGGTGGCCAACGGTCAAGTTCTGGGATTGGCGGCTGCCGGTAAGATTCTTGTCAATACCAAAGGCAGTAGACCCAGCGCTTGTATAATTTATAATAAAAATATTGAACTTTTAGCTGTTCCAAAGTACTGCAATGATGACCTGGTTACAGCTTTCATAAATCTCAAGGGATGCACAGGGCCAGAGTAATCATTTGCTCAGCCTATCTTCCCGGCGAGAACGCAGATCCTACCATCGAGTTAGAGCGAGTGGCGGAGTTCGCCCGAAAACACAACGTGGAACTTGTGGTGGGTTGTGATGCTAATGCTCACCACACAGCCTGGAGAAGCACCAACATCAACGAAAGAGGTGAGTTACTTTATGATTTTCTCATCTCCAACCGCCTGGTAAGCCTAAACTTAGGTTGTACACCAACCTTTGTAACGCGTGCTAGGCAAGAAGTGTTAGACATAACCTTTGCTAGCAATAACATGTCCAGGCGGATAAATGACTGGCATGTTAGTAGCGAAAACTGGATGTCTGATCACAAGCACATTAAGTTTGTGATTGGAGCATCACCATCCTTTGAAACCGTTACTTTTAGGGATCCGAAAGCGACCTCCTGGGGTATCTATAAAGATAGCCTAACAACACGAAAAGTTTCTTGGTGGAATTCTAAGCTGAAAGACCTTAAGGAAAAAACCAGGAAACTATTTAATAGGGCTAAGAAAACCAAAGAGTGGGATATCTATATTGCAGCCCTAACTGAATATAATAAAGAAATTAGGAAAGCCAAGAGAGCATCGTGGAGGAAGCTATGCGAGGAAGTTGAGTCTTTGCCTCGCAGTGCAAGACAAGACAAGATGCTATCGAAAGCTAAACCTAATCAGATCGGGCTTCTTAAAAACCGGATGGTAACTTCACTAATAGTGAAACAGAAACATTGGAAACACAAGACTTCAGCCTTGAACTCTTTCAGAACCCTACGAAGGCCTTGCAATGAGGACTGGCGTAGGGCTGCAAAGATAATAAGGCCAAACCCGGTGCAGTGGGCTGTTGACTCCTTTGAACCATTTAAATCAAGCGGGGAGGATGGAATAATTCCCATCCAACTACAGAGGGGTATCGACATCCTTCTTCCTTATCTGGTGAAAATCTTTAGAGCAAGTTTTGCATGGGGATATATTCCAGAACGATGGACAATTGTCAAGGTTCTATTTATACCAAAGGCTGGTAGAAAGGACTACGCTTTACCAAAGTCCTTTAGACCTATAAGCCTATCTTCCTTTCTTCTTAAGATATGGAAAAGGTTATAGATAGATAAATAAGGGATGTAGCTCTAGCTACGAGGCCCATACATTACAATCATCTTACTTACCGCAGAGGCAAATCTACGGAAACAGCCCTGATCAGTGCCATTGACAGGGTCGAAAAAGCACTGGAGGATAAAGAAATAGCTCTTTGTGCCTTTCTAGATATTGAGGGCGCCTTCGACAGTAGCCCCACATTACTGCTGATTGGGGGCCTAACATATAAAAATGTTGACCCCACAACCATCAGGTGGGTGAAGTGGATGCTCTCGAATAGAAAGGCAACAATAGCACTGTTTCAAACTTCGATTGAGGTTGCAACTACAGGAGACTGCCCACAAGGTGTTTTGTCACCCCTTCTTTGGACTCTTGCGGTTGACCAACTATTGTACAAAATGGCAGACCTACTCATTGACACATTGGGTTATGCTGATGACCTTGTGATTATTGCAAGGGGCTTTTGCCAAAGTACTTTATCGTCAATAATACAAAGAGCCCTAAACACCACAAATAACTGGTGTAGGGATAACAGTTTATCAGTTAATTCTGATAAAACTGTTATAATACCCTTTACCAAAAAGAGACGGTTGGACAAGTTAGTCCAACCAAAATTTAATGGCAAAGAAGTACCATTTTCTACGGAAGTTAAGTACTTGGGCGTAACAATCGACTAAAAACTAACGTGGAACTCTCACCTTAGCAACGTATGTCACAAAGCTGAAATTTCTTTAGGTATCTGCAGTCGTACGGTTGGGAACAACTGGGGCTTGCGTCCCAGTATGGTCCTATGGCTGTACAGCAGCATAGTGAGGCCGATTCTCACCTACGTCTCTATTGTCTGGTGTAACAAGGCCAACCAAAAGTCGACTGCGGACAGACTAAATAGTCTC